ATTTGTTTTTTATAACGAGATTGTCACTATAACAGAACGGGCTGTTCTTATAACGAGAGTGACCTGTAACGTCTATTTTGAATTGAAATCTATAATTAAAAATTCTGGGGTGGGGTGTTTGGATATGAAATTCTGATTGGCCAATTTGAATTTCATATTTGTGAATTGCAAATTCATTTTCACGCACAACAAATTTTTACATTTATAAAATTTTATTGATACAATGGCAGCAAATTTTTGGGCTTCTACACATTGGTAAATATTTCACCTATAATTAATGTAATAATTAGTGAAATTCTCTTTCTAAACAATTTAAAATTCTTTCTAGTCATAATTGGTTACTTAGCAAACAGCAACTTTTGGATAGTAGACAAGAAGATTTAAAATATATAAGTCAAAGTGAATTGTATAAATTAAATATATGGTTTGCCTATGGTAAGCAATTAATTATAATGTTGCATAAAAAATAACAATTATTTAATATTAATATGATGATGATCTTTAGTAATGACAGAACTTGGTAGGCGATTAAATGTAAGACAGGTTATCATATCAACAGCAATCACATACTTTAAAAGATTTTATGTAAAGTAAATATTAATAATATAATCACATTGTTCATTCATGCATACATTTTATTTATATACTAAAAATTTTTTTGTTTGTGCTAAAGAGACTGAAATGGTTTATTGATTTTTTTCTTTGATGATTAATTACAGAAATTCATATAGAAATACTGAGCCAATGTTAGTGTTGACAGCGTGTATGTATTTAGCAAGTAAAATTGAAGAATTTCCACTTCATATTAAGACGGTTATTGCTGAGACAAGAGGACTTAAAATAAGTATGAAAGATAATTTATGGTTTTATGATTTAATTTTTTTTCCAGAAAATATTAATTCTAAATTCATAAATTTCTAAAAAAAAAAGATGGATTTACTTATGACAATCAAAAAGTAGCAGAAATGGAATTTTATTTATTAGAAGAATTGAATTTTAATATGGTAGTTTTTCATCCCTATCGTTCACTTATTCAAATTTCAAAAGATTTTGGAACAAAACATGAAGATGTTAAAATGGCATCTTATATAATAAATGATACATATAGAACAGATTTATGTTTATCATATCCACCATACGTTATTGCAGTTGCTGCATTATTCTTACCAATTGCAATCAAAGAAAAATCTAATCTTTCAATAATAAATAGGAATAATGATAATGATAATGATAATGATAATGATAGTGATAATGATATTAGTAAAGAAATTGGGGTTGTCACTAGAAGAAATTCAAGAAAATTAATCAAATATGAAGAAATCAATAATATTAATAGTAGTAATAATGGTAACGATTATAAAAGTATTAAAGATATTAAGAAATGGTTTTCTGAATTAAATGTTGATATGGAACAGGCAAATATATAAATATATACACAACTCATAATCATTATTGATTATTAATTATTAATTTTTATTTTATTTGGTTTTTTTTAGGTTGTAGATATTGTACAAGAATTAATCATATTATATGATTTTTGGAGCGAATATGAAGAAGACAAGTCATATTCTGAAATTGATGGCATTTTGAAAAAATTAAATAAAAATTAGTCAATTAATTTATTATCAATTAATTCCCGCCCCACCTCCTTTATTACCGGATTTACAATAAACAAGAATGACTGTTAATCATTTCTCTCCCCACATCAATTAAAATTCTCATTACACGTCCACTAGTGGAAACCCTACCAACTTCATTACCTTTTCCTACCTCTACAACAAGAGAGAGGGAATTTATTTTTGTGAGAAATTCACATCCCTCCCCCGAAACACCATTCCAACTGATAATCTAATTCTTGAAATGCCTCTACATGTTTATAGCAGTCAACTTCTATATCTTGAGCCGAAATTTGTGTCTTGGTTAGCAGGAGAAAGTCGAATTGCTTCAAAGAACAATGCAAAGTGATTTTTATTAAAACATCATCTAATTAAATAAATTTATTTTTATTTCTTTATAATAATCAGTTCGTAAGTACTACAGCATTATATTATAGTCAACTTTTACTACATAAAATAAGCATTTAATTAAATAAATTGTTTTATTTCTTTATAATAACAGCATGTAAGTTTATTATATTATTAATTTACTTTTACAACATAAAATAATTATCATTTAATCAAATAAATTAATGGCCAGTTGGTAAGTATTATTATAAATTGATTTACAGCACAAAATAATTTTTATTTTTTCTTCCTTCTATTATATTATTATAATAACTTTTGCAACACAAAATAATTATCATTTAATTAAATAAATTTAATTTTTATAATATAAAATTATTTTTATTTAGAATTAATGCCTATTTTTATAATGAAAAATTATTTGAAATAACAAGATATTATTGTTAAAGATGAAAGAAAAAGAAGAGAAGAATATGGAATCTGTTCTGTTTGTGCAAGACATGATACTAATTACCAATGGTGTCAATCATGTGATCCCAAATTGTTAGCTCAAAGTTGGACTAGTAGTGGTAATGAAAATTAGACGAAGTACACAGATCGAGGCAAAAGGATTTAATAGTCATTATTATCTTGAATAGATTCCTTATGACCAACTCAGAATTGAAAAAGAAATAGGCGAATGTGGTTTTTCAACCATGTATAAGGTTTACTGGTCTAAATTTATTGGTTTGAATAAAAGATACTATTGTTGGAATGGTGATGTAGCATTAAAAAAGTTAAAAATTCACAAAATATTTCTGACAAGTTTCTAAAAGAGGCAAATAATTTAATATAATTAATTGACAATTAATGATTATTAATTTTCTTTGATTTTCATAAGCTTCAAACTCGCATTAAAGTTATAGGATCACATCATAGTGGTATTTGTGGCATTTCACAAGATCCAAATACAAAAGAATATCGAGATGTGCAGCTGATGGAAGTTTTAAAGATTATATAAAATCAAAATCAAATTATACAAGGTGGAGTAACAGAATTGCAATACTACATAGTATAATCTTAAGTTTAAGAACCATTCATAAAGTAGGACTTATGCATTGTGATCTTCACAATATTTCATATTTTCAATATTTAACCTAGAAGGAAATGGTTGCAAATTTGGTCCCAGCTAATCAAGTAACATCAAGTAAAGATGATATATTTGGAGTGCTGCCATATGTTCTACCAGAGGTTTGAAATAAGGAACCTTATACACAAAAGTCTGGCATCTATAGTTTTGGGATTTTAATTAACACATCAACAACCACTCAATGATCAACCACATGATCTAGATCTTGCTTGCAGGATCTGTAGTGGCTTAAGACCTCGTTTTTCAGATAATACTCCAGAATGTTATATTAGTACACTAATGCACAGATGCTGATCCTGAAAAAAGACCAACAGCAGATAAAATCTTAATGGTGGTTGGATTTTGGAAAGATACAGTTGATTTTGATTTTCATGAAATTCTAAGATCAAATAGACCTAATTATTCTGAAAAACAACTTGATGAATTAAAAGGAACGAGAAAAATATTCAAGAAAGCAGATAAAAAATCAACAATTTCAGCAACTGTTCATCCAAATGCTGTTTATGCAAGTAGACTATTGAGTTTTACAAATCCCTTCATCCTGTAAATCTCAATAAAGTTACAATTATTAGTAATAATGGTAATTTTTAATCTTAATTATTAATTATTAATGATATTTTAAATTATATAGAATCTTGACAAATTGAATTAACTATACCAGATGATTAAATTTATATAGTGAACAAATACCTCTTATTATTATCAACATTTATTTTAATAATTAAAATATTACTTTAATGACATTAAGCAACCTTCCTTGTAGTTTAATCTATCATCATTATCATCATTCAAACATTTATATATATTGTTTTAACATTTTATCATCATCTATAAATGCTATAATAATAATAGTGAAAATCACCAGAGTGAAATGCACCTTGTTCATTTTTTTTAACTGCTTCATCTTTATTCCTCAGGTATCATTCATTATATGGTATTTTTAGTTCTACAAATTCAATTGATATGAATGGTGTATTGTTCAACACTGCACCTTGGGAATGAATTTCTACACAAATTTTCATTTATGTATACATTTTGATTTGTTTAATTTCTTCTCCAATCTGCTTTCATAGTGTAAATGAGGAATGATTAAATCTAATTAAATTAAATTTACTTTTAATAAGGGTTGATTTAATTTTTTAAAAATCGTTCGGAGATTATTGAGATATATGCGTTTTATTAATGTAGCTGACTTATTTAAAAATCAATGCAGATCACCGGTTAAAAAACCAGTTCAGTTCGGTTTTTCATGTTTTATTTGAATGATTTGTTTTATTTGAATAATTTGTTTTATTTGAATTATTCGTTTATTTGAATAGAAACCCTAGTTCTGGTTTAAGTGCAAGGTTTCTTTCCATAAATTTTAATTCAAATAGATTTTTTAATTCGAATAAATTTTTTTAATTCGAATTAATATTAACTATTAATATTAAAGATTGACAGTATTACGAATAGAAACCCTAATCCATACTACCTCTTCGATACTCCAATGTAACGAATCAGATGTAGTAGACACCCTGTTTCTGGCTGTTAAAAATAGAGTTATTAAGCCACTTATTCAAAATACTACCTTGTTCACTATCATATAAACAGCGTTGATCAGCTCACTTACCAGGCGTCAATAAAGAAAAAAAAAAGGACCTCAAGAGCATATGTTTATCATTCTTTGTTGTGAGGGCATCAGGGTCAACCTCACTTGAGTTCTTTCATTAGTATCATGAGCGAGATCAAGGTTGTTGTCTGACATGTTTAAAGATTACTTTTTATATAAAAGGAATAGTGGCACGAGTTGTGGTTTTTTTTTCGAATGAAATTTAAAAAAATAATGTGACTTGATGGTTTATCCAATGTGACAATTTCGAATTGATATTAAGATTAGATTTTTTTTGCCAATAAACCTAAAAATTAAAATGAAAACACCATCAAAAACACCAAAGAAATTGATAACATTCGATAATAATTTCATGAAAATTATTAATTATTATTTCGATGATAAGGAGCTTAATAATTATAGTGATAATGATAATGTGCATAAGAGCATACAGAAATTGATAAATTTGATAAAGGATGACCAAGCAAATTGGGAGAAACAATGTCAATATTTGAGAGAAATTGGTAAGCGTGGCAGGAGAATTTTATTATAATATATATATATATATGAGTGATAGTAATAATATTATAATTATAGGAAAATTGTTGCCAACTTCAAAAAAAAAAAATCTTCAGCAATTTTTATTATCATTAAAAGAAGAAAATTTAGATGATAAATTTATCAACCAGATTGAAAATATTCTTGAGCCAATTATCTCCAAAATTTATTTTAGTTCAATTGAACCTTTAACAAAACGTTATTGTATACCGATATTAGATTCTTGTCATATGATTTCATCATTGTCATCATCGTCAATAAGTAATAATAGAATGTTTAAGGAAATTCTGATTGAATATTCTAAATTTATTACACAAGAAAATTATTCTAACCAAGCATTTTCTCAAAAGAGTAATTCAATATATATTACATTGGATTTTTCGTTAGGCTATCAAATAATAGAAGAAAAATTATTTGACACGATATATTTTCTAATTGAATCATTGAATATTGTTATAATTCAAAGAATCAACAACAACAATAATCATCACTCAATCCAAGACTTTGAAGCATCATCATCACCATTAATATTGTCACAGAATATGAATGATTTACAGCATTTAACAAAAACTATTTTGGCTTTATTATCAAAATTTGATAAAAAATTTAGACCAAAATTTAATAAAATCAATTTAGAAGAAAATTTAATGGTCAACAACACTACTAATACTGATGATGGTAATGATGAAGCAACATTCTTAAAGATGATTAAGGATTTAATCAATGGGTGTTTAATAATGTGCTCAAATCATATTTATATCAAAGATGTTAGACAATTATCAGGAATGACACTTTCAGCAATATTTAATTTATTTGGCTCGTCATCACCAAATTTTAAAAGTAATCAAATAATTTATACATTTTTTTCACAAAAACTGAAATTGATTGGTAAAAACGAAGATGATGGATTTTTGTTAATTAAAAAAAAATTAAATTTAAAAATTCCTGATTGTTTAATAAGTGATGATAAAGGATGGACAGACGATGATCCTTTAATGTTGACTATTTGTAGGGGATTTTTATCAAATCTTTCAAGAGATGTATTAATTTGTCCCATTAAAGAAATAGAAGAATTTGAGAAAAATAATACAAATGATCGCAAAGTGACATCCTTACATCAAATTTTATTTTTGTTTATATTAGAATTTTGTGATTTGTCTACAAATTCACAAACCAAGGTTTTATCTTTTGAAACATTGGGATTATGGTTGCAAGAAACTGAAAATATTCTTAAAGATGATGATGGTGGAATAGAAGATCTGATGATCTATGAAAAGAATAAAGTTGTAACGCCAATAATAAAGAAAGAGATCTTAAATATTTTCAATAAAAACATTTTAGAAAAGTTGATTTCTTATGTAATAAATAATTGTGATGATCCTATTGATGCTATTCAACATAAGGTAAATTAACTCATACATATTTAATTATAAGTATTTATTATTTAACCATTTATTCTTGTGATTTTGGCAGATTAAAACAATTTTTGAAGCTTTATTAAGTATTATCAATCTAGGAATTCAATCGGAGGAATTATCCAAAGATCCTTCGTCATTATCATTGTCTTTTTCTTCTACGCTAGAATTACAGTACAATCAATATTTAAATAATTTGATTTCTCAATTATTGTTGATGGATAAGTATCGTAAGGTTAAATACTCATTATTGAATCTGATATTGCCAAGAATTAGAACTAATTTGATACTTGAAATGCAAAATGATTTTATCGATAAAACTTTACAAGTTTTAAATAACCTTGTTATTGCACCTAAAGCTGCAAATTTATTAATTGGTTTTTTAAAACAAAGGCTAGAAGAAGATTATTACAATGAGGAAAATAATTTGAGAAATAATAGTAATGATATTGTAGTAATAGATGCAGTGGCAGCAAGTGAAGAAAAAGAGAAAATAATTGTAAATTGGATGAACTTATGGATGAAGCCTTTGTGTTTAAATCTTACAACAAAAAATAATGAAATATTAAGGAAAATCATTGGAGAGATTTTATTGAAGCCATTATTTAAGATTGATTCTCTGATATTCTGGAAGATTCTTGAGAGATTTCAAGATGAAAAATCAGTCAATAATATGGAGCTTATTAGAGATGAAGAGTATAAATTGAACTCTTTAATTTTAATTATAAAAATCGGCAAATCTTTGGATTTTATTGATGGAAATAAATTATTTCTTGAAGGTAAAAAAAAAATCATGTTCTTTTGTAAACATTAATTAATATTAATTATTACTTTATATTCTTCAATTAAAAAAAATAGAACAAAGGAAAAAGTTGCTTTATGATTCAATTTGTCATGAAGATTTAAACATTAGAAGTGATTTACTTGGATTAATATGTGAATCAAAAAAGGCAATAATAGAAATTACTGCACAAGAATTGGAATTATTGAAATCATTTTTAAAAATAAATATTAATTCCACTTCACCAGAGTTTAGACAAAAATTATATGGAAATTTAAATAAATTATTTAACAGATTGGAGATCAATACAAACGGATTATTAAGAGATTATTTATCCAGGAAGAAATTTATTGAAAAAAATCGTCATCTAAATCAAAAAAAGGAGTTAGAGAATGTTGTGATGATTGAATTGGATGAAATTAAAAAGAAATTCGATAAATATGAGAGATTTTTGAATTGGTTGGTTGAATTGTTGATGGCTTCGTTGTATCCTGGAGCATCATTTCAAAGAGTTTCTACCAGTTTAAATATCTTTAAATTATTATTAAATAAAAATTTTTTTTGTGAAAAATCAAAGTCATCAAAATCATCGTTAATTGTAAATATAAATATTAAAACAATAAGAAATACTAAATTATTATTATACTGTCTGACAAATTCATTTAATGAAATTCGTAGCTTGGCTTATGAAATATTGAGAGAATTTGTTTCACCGTTGCCCGGAATTGTCAATAATCAAGAAGAAGCATTAACAATAAAATATATATTGAAATGGGCTTTTGATCGTATGATAAGTGCAAGGGCTGTGGAAAGTGATAGTGGTGCAATGATTTTTCGACTGGTATTTAGGAAATATGTTATAGAATTAGGTCATATTATTGATTTTGAAAAGGAAGATATTTTAATTGAAGAAAGCATTGTTTTTGAAAAAGAAGTTTGCGAATATTCTTTGGTTTCATCTAGTATGTAATTAATTTTATTATTATTTTAATATGATAATTTTTAAATATTTAATAATCGATTTTTAACCTTGTTATATTGTACATATATAGTCAATTTTATTCAAAAAATTTTAAGAATATTAAAGACACAAATTAACATCGCATCAAATAATCTTTTATTAGCATCAAAAAAATATCCAATGTATGGGACATTAATTGGACTTCAATATCTATTTTTAGAAATTAATTATAATTCAGATTTTGTAAAAAAAAATATTTTAGAGTGGAGAGCTTTACATAAAGATGTTTTACAATTGATTGATCATGTGTGTCAAATCGTTTTAGAAATTTTATCTAGCCCATCACCTGAAGGTAATTTGCCTGAAGGCCTTGATGATGGAGGAACATTGGATATGAATGATGATGATATAACGGTTGATTATGATGAATTTTATGAAAATGGAGTAGGAGAAGAAATCAGTGATGGTAATGATAATATATTTGGGCCCAAACATCAAATTATATTGAGTTGTTGTTGGAGAACTGTTAAAGAAGCATGTACTTTACTTGCAATAATCTTATCAAGAACCCCCGCTTCACTAAATTTGAATAGTAATAATAACGGAGGAGATAACGATGATAATGCTGATAATAGTAATAATGTAATTTACAAATTAAATATTAAGTATATATTAACTATTTAATTGATTGATTGATTTTTTTAAATTTATATATATAGTATGCATTAGTTGATTATGAACAAGTTCGTAAAGGTGGAGAATTATTTAAGAATTTATTAATTTCTATAAGACATCGTGGTGCATTTTCAGCAATATATCCAGAATTTTTAAAAGTTTGCACCAGATTATTATCATCAAATCAATCAGATTTTTTTGGTTTACCAAAAATTTGGTTGGAGGTAAATTTTTGAATAAAAAAAATTTTATATGTGAAATTATCTATTAAATAATAATAATAAACTATTTTTTTTCCTTTTTTTAAAGGAAAATATAAATGCTATAAAGACAAATTCGATTTCAATAACAAGAAGAAGTGCAGGATTACCTTATTATATATTGGCAATAGTTTACAGTGAGTCGTCATCATCGAATCGTAGAATGTTATTACCTTGGGTGATGAAAACTTTATTTGAAATTGGATTTAAAGAGTTATCTGGTGAAGATGCTGGTGCTAGTGATGGTTATGATTATGATAATAATAACGGTGATGATGATATTATTAGATGTCGAATTGAAAATCCAAATGAAAATAATTTGATAGTTGATAAAATGGTTGACATACCACAAGTACATGCATTTAATATTCTTAGAATTATTTTTATGGATTCAAAATTGGGAACGGAAGTTTTACCATATGTTTCAAATGGTTTTGAACTTAGCATTGAAGGATTTTCTTCAAAAAGGTATTTAAAAAATTATTTATTTATAATAAATAATTAAATAATTAATAATTAATAATACTGATAAATTAATTTAGTTGGGCAATAAGAAATTGTAGTGTAATGTTATTTTCTACATTGTTACAAAGAACTTTTGGTAATAAGAAAGTCAAAGATGAAAATCATTCAGTAAATAATTTAACTAGCAAAGAATTTTTCACCAGATTTCCAAAGTTGCATTCATTTTTATTAAATCAATTGGAAACTTTTGTTAATCAATTATTGGTTAAAAAAGACAAAGAAAATGTTGATAAGGTAAATTAATTGATTATATTTATTATATGTATCATATGAATAATTGCTAATTATCAATTAATCAGATTACTAGTAAGGATTTAAAGCATCAATCAAAAGTTCACACTGGATTATATCCTATACTTACATTGTTATCTAGATTGCATCCTTCATTGATGGAAAGTACAAATTCAGTACTAAATATGAAATCATTTATATCATTAGTCTCATTATGTAACACTTCATCTATTTACAGAGTAAGTAAATAATTCATTATTATTAATTAGCTAATTAATGAATTAATATAATTTATGATGATCTTTAATGAAAGGTTAGAGAAATAGCAGCAAAAGCACTTGTACCATTAATCACAACAAATGATTTAATTTCAAAATGTATCGAATTGCTGAATGGATGTGAATTATTTAATCAAAATGAATTACATGGAAGATTAATTCAAATAAAATATTTGTTAAAAGGGCATTTAGAAAATAATTTTTGTGGATTTAATATTATGAAAGGTAATAATCTGCTTAATCATCATTTGACTATTCAATTATTCATTAATCATTTAATCAATCTAATTCATTTATCATTATTTTTTAAAAAGAATTTATAGAAAAATTTTCCAAGGTTTTCAAATCTGAATTTTATCTTTTAACCAAAGAAAATCCATGTCAAATCACTAGAAACTTATTACTAGAAATAATTTATGTTTTTATTATTAATGATGATTGGATATATAATGAAAAAGATTTAATTAAACAAAATGGTAAATTTTCAATTTCTTTATTTCCAAATAAATTACACATATTACTCTTAATAAACAAGTAATATTATTAATGATGCATACATTTTTTAGAGCTTTTTGAATTGATTAAAGAAAAGTTTTCAGAATTGAGAAAATCAATTTTTTATTTATCATATTCAGAATTATTATCATTACCAACTAACGATCATATTATCTTTGATGAAGATTATTATAAGAATAATATTGGGTATTATCTTGTTAAAAAACAAATGATAAAGATAATAGTCAAATCATTGATTAATAATAGTCAAGAAAAAAATATTTATTATGATGAGAAAGAAATTGATCAACAAAAAATTATTATTGATATTATAAAAAATAAAGATTATGAAGTTAGAGTTTTTGGATTGGGAACATTAATAAAGCAATTTGAAGAAAATATGGATAATTTCAATATTATTAAACAAAGGTAATAAATGTTATTTATTTATTGCGCCAGAAATAGATATTTATGATGATGTTTATTAAAATATGCTCTTGAAGTCTATTATTATTGCTAACAACTATATAATTGAAAATTTTTATACTTTTGATTTCTATATATTATAAATTTATTCTAATTTATTACAATTATTTCTGCAAAAACAATTATTGTTTCTTTAATATAGAGTTCAAATACATGCTATTCAACAAGAATTAATTAATATAATATATAAAGAAGAAAATGATGATGGATTGAAATTGGAATATTATAAAAAAGCCATTAGGTTATTGGGATTAATTGATCCAAAAAATCCATTTCCTTCTACATCTGCTGTTCCTTTGACTTCTTCTCAATTGAATTTTGGAATCAGAGAATTTTGGAAAAAATTATTTAATTATTATTTGAATGGAAAAAAAAGTACAAAAATAGATTCAGTAATCGAAGTCATTTTACCTATTTTAAGTAGATTATTATCACAAGTAAGGTTTATTGTTGTTGTTGTTGTTATTGATATTGATATTTTGAAGTTAAAAGAGAAATTAATAAATCTAATTATATATGATGATAAATAGATTTGGCAGGATAATTCAATGCCATCAGATTTTAAATCTTTATGTTTAAAACAATGGACTGAGTATATTGAAGAAAATACAAGGCCAGAAATTGTAATTAATTAAAATTTGTTAATTAATCAATTATCAATATGTTAATACCAATATTAATTAATTTTATTATTATTAAAAAATATTAGAAACTTAATTTACGTGAAATTGCTTCAAAATCCTTATTTCTATTTGCTAATAACAATTTATTTAGTGAAGTTAATGATAGTTCATTAAAAGCTCATATTATTCAAAATATGATAACTTTATACTTGATATTAATACGTTTAGCCCAGGTATTTATTTTCATTTATTTATTATTTATTATTTATTATTTATGTTGTAATTTGTTATTATTTATTTATTATCATTGTTTATTAAGGATGATGACGTTGATATAAGAAATGATACTGCCTCTATTATTTCTAAAGCTAAAAAATTAAAGGTACCCTATAATATGTGTATGTTTTGTATATTTTTTGCATAAATGTTTTACATATATTTTTTTATTAATATTTATTAGATACCAATAAATTCAGATAAAGCAACAGAATTATGTTATGAATATATTTCAACTCATTACCATAAATCATTACATTTATACATTGCTCTATTACAAAATTTAACAGGCGATGAGAAACCTGGTAGGTAGTTAATTCTCTTTCGCGCACAAACACAAACAAAATGCCTTTTCTTTTTTTCCAATCTTTAAAAATATTTTATTCATTAATTCTATTAATTATTAACTTCAATTTAGAAATAATTTTAAAATCTGAATTGTATCCAACAAAAGTTTTATTTGCAATTGAAGATCCAAATACTTATAAAGAACAGCTTTTAGATATTCAACTATCATTTAAACATTTGAAATCATTATTAAATGTTAATAATTCCTTAAATTTTCCAGACTTATTTAGAGTGACTATACCAAAGTTTATTTTGGAACAATTTAAGAATGTTTTGGAAATATTATGTTTTAAAGAAATCCAGGTATCAAATGAAAAATTTTTTTGTTTAGTTAACGATTTATAAATAGATAATTATTTTTTTAAAAAAAATTCATTTATTTTAGGAAGGGAACTTTGGTCCTTTAGGTTTCACATCAAAACCAAAGGTTTTTTTTGTAATTTATAAAATCATTTTGGCATTAATTATTATGATTGAATTTCAGCCAAATATTGAAGAAAAATTAAAATATATCAAAGGTTTGTGATGATATATTATTAGACTTATATATATATATATATTTTTAATATGTAATTTGATTTTTTTTTAATTTAGAGATTGAAATGATTTTGAAGAAATCTTTGATAAATTCAACCAAGATTAAATTACATCCATTATTAAATAATTTAATATATAAAGAACTTATAACCGAATTCTTTAACAATAGTAGCGATGAATATTTTATTGATGATGAAAAATTTAGCAATGATTTTAATAATTGGTTTCTTTTGGGCAATTAATAAATTTGTATAATGGCTTTATTTAACAAATAAATTCTAGAGGTTTTTCATTATGTATTTTTTATTGGTGTTGGTATCTAAACAAAAAAGAATTTTTTAAAAAAAAAATCGAAAATCGGAATCATGAATCACGAATATTTAAATTTACCCAAAAGATTCTTCTAGTTTAGGAATTGCTTTGGTTGAAAGATAAATTGTTATTGTAGGTGCTGGCAATTTTTTTTTAGAGGTTGAAAATCTTGAAACTATTTTATCATCATTATCACATTCTCCCATTCTAACACTTTTTTCTACCTCCATTTTCGTTTCTTCTTGTTCTTCTATTTCTTCTATTTCTTCTATTTCTTCTATTTCTTCTATTTCTTCTATTTCTTCTATTACACCATCACCACCGTTTTGTTCTTCTTTTTCTTTTTCAACAACAATATCAGCATTGTTGTCTACCATTACTTCAGTTGCTATATCCTTTTTTTTTAATTCTTCAGATTTTTTTTCATTAGGAAAATTTCTTCCAATTTGAGTATATTGATGTAATAATCCATTCATTTCTCGCTTAATTATTTCAACTACTGTAATCGCTTTATTAATAGCTGATCCTTTAGCTGTAAATATCACTACTACAACACTACTAATACTTTTCATATCTTTTTGATTTGTCGTTGTCGCATTCTTTTGAAAGCAAACAATTATCGTAAAATCATTATAATCATTATCATTATAATCATGACAAAAAAAAATAAAAAAACACAAACCTGAAATACTTTTAATCCTGTGTGAACATATTTCTTTATTTTACCTGAACTCAATATCTTTATACTTTTGGTTTCTGTCGTTTTTGAAACAATTTCTTCGCAAGTATTACTCATTTTGTACACGAATCAGTTTTTTCCACAAAACTTTCTATAATTAGGAAGATTTCCTTTTCATTTTAAGGAAATTTGCCCACAAAGGGGAAAAGACAAAATAAAGTGTCATCGATAGCACATCCGGATTTTTTATTTAAAAATGGTATCTTTATTTCTTTATATATATACACATATAATAAAATGATTCTGTATAGTATTATCTAATTTAAAACCATTAGTTTTTCTTTATCAATTTATAAACTTCAAATTCTTCTATCAAATGAACATTTTTATCCTTATTTCTAAGTTTCAAATTATTTCTATATTTACCAAAAAAATTATAATAATAATAGTAACAATAAGATTCATTATCAATACTATTATATAACCCCAAGTCATAAAAATCTATAGAAATATCATTAATTTGAATATCATCTGTATTAAAATTAAGATTTTGACTATTATGGTGTATGGCATGTTCAGGATCTTTAACCCTACTCAATATTGAATTATTTATTTGATCATCTATCTTATAAATAAAACTTTTGTCAGTTCCAATTGAATAAGCTTTATCTGGTGATCTCTCTTTTATATTCCAACAAACTGGATTATAGCCACCAACCAATTCACCTGTTTTTTTAAGTTTCATGATGACTACAGTTTGTTCAATATTATAGCATTTATTCTCAAATACTGATCTAGAGAAACCATCACGAGTTCCACTAAGTATTAAATTAAATTCATAAGGTAAATCATTTATATTATATAAACCATTTTTGTAATCAACCCAACTAGAAATTAAATATTTCATTTGTAAATTTAGCAATTTTCCTGTTCTTGCTCTTGGACCTTTTTGTAGTAATAGCTGTGATTGCCAATTATCAGTAATATAGAATTGAAGAAGCTCTCTATAAACTTTTTCATCAAGAACTTTTCTATATGGTGCAATTTTTTCATTAAAATCTCTAAATTTAATTTCCTTGAATCTTATTAATGGAACAATATCATCCAATAAAATGCTCAACTTTTTAAAATCATTTTTATTCCATTCTGATAGTTCCTTTTTTTCTTCCAAATGTTCAATTTGTCCTTTTCCCCACTGAATAACACATTCCCAAGCACCAATCTCTTCTAATCCTAAATTATCTTTTTTTAATATAGACATAAGCATAGGTTTTTCAATATATTTGAAATCATCAGACTTTAAAAATAATTCTGGCTCTTCACTAAATATTTCTTTACAATAATTTTGAAGCAAGGTAAATGATTGATATTTTAATGAAGTTTCATTAAGATAAGTTAAATTTTGTTTAATCCATCCTTTTCCTTTCTCTAATAAATAAATTTGTAAATCCTCAATTAATTCACTAAAATCTAATTCATCACATGCTTTAAGAAGTTCAAAAACTTCATCTGGATCAAGATTAGCTATATTAATAATTCCATTATAAATATATCTTTTGAAAATAAAAAAATTTTTTTGAATAAATTAATAATTATAATTATAATTGGTTAATCAGTTAATCAATAAACTACATTAATCTTACGTTAAAAGAACTTCAAATACTGTTGGAGAAATATTTTCTTTTTCAAATAAAATCATACTACCATCTTTAGATCTTTTTATCCAATTATTTGACAAGGCTGCTTTAAAATATGAAGACCTTGCTTTTAAAATTGTTGAATGAGCTTTAAAAGTTCTAACATCCTCCTTATCTATCCCTACTTTAATCTCTGTATCATAGAAATCTGATTCATTTAATAATTCTGATAAATCATTTATAAGTTTAAAAATATGTTTTAATGGTAAAGCATCATCATTAGAAGTGATAATGTCATTAAAAAATAATTTTATTTTTTCTAAAGATGAAAAACTTGTTGTTGACATTTTGGAGAATAAATTTGTCGGAAAAAAATTTGAATTGATTGTTATTATTATTGCTGAATATGATGTAGATTACCACATATTTAAATGATCGTGTTCAGGGGGGTCATGTGGATTGTTGACATATATACAAGGACACAAAAAATTTCGTGCGCTGGAACACAACATAAATAATATTAAAAAATCCTCATGTGACTTCTATATAGTCCACTTATATTCAATTTTTTATTTTAAACCCAATTACTATATTAATATTAATCTGATGTACTGTGTAACCGAATTCTACCCTTAACATTAATATTTCGGACGTCGATCCATTATCAGATAATTAATTTTTTGTTATTCATGCTCTCTTATATTACCTATATATTAATATTATTATTATTGATATCAGAATTAATAGACCATGAATGACTGATGATAATAATAATAATAACAAAAATTTGCGAATTTTTTTTTGTGAAACGACAGAATTTTGTGGATATTTTGAAGTTTCACGAAATTTGCGGATTTTTTTGTGGATAACTACACGATTATCATTATTATTATAGTCGGAACTTATTTGGAGCATGTAGCAACAAAACCAGACAAAGTGAACATTGGTATTACCAAAAATTTCAGGGATCAACATTTGATTACTATCATCACAATTAGTTTCATAATGTCACATTTGTTAAATGATATATAGAATTACCCTATATAAAAATAATTTTAGGTCTACCATGGAACCCAAGAATTATAGTACAATTACAAGTATTTTAAACAATGAACAAGGTGTAAAAATTGCTCCTTATATTTTTAAATTAGCAGATACTAAATCTTTGCAAACATATTTAGAAAAAGAAGGTTTAATTATGAAATTTATCAAGAAAAATGTTAGAAAAAGAAATCATAATGAAAGTGTACTATTATTACCCAACAAAAAACAGAATCGTTAGAAGGGGAATGATTCTTATTATTACAATATTGATTTATTTATTTTTTCACTGACTACAATTCTCCTTTATGAAAACAAATTTTATATTCAAGAATATGGACATTGACATTGAAACAAAGTAAACAATCCTGCTTTGTGTTGGAACATTATAAAAACCACCAATTCACTTAGTTTTCAGGTAAAAAAATCAAATAACAAATCTTTGGTTTAAAAAACAAGCAAATAATCACAAATATTTATACAATATTTTCATTTATAATAACATTTTTTTAAAAAAAATGTTACATTCAATGGTGAATTTTTTGTGGGTCATTGATCTATAACATTGCATAATTTATGAGAAAATTGAAACTTTGTAAAAAATATATTAACCAAAGTTATTTACCTGCATAACAGATTGAAGTTGAACTGAATTTTGAGCTATGTCATCTTGTTTTTTAGCTTCTGTAACTCCACTGATTACAGAATTGCCTGATCCAAGGAACCATTCTCACAAGTACCAGCTATTTCATATCCAGGTGATAATTTCACCTTGTTTTCATAGCAACTTGTTATTGCAGATAGCATTGATGAAATAAATTTTCAGTGACATCCTTCAGTAGAGCCAATCACTGATACAAAAGCAATTATCTTACATTGTAATAACATTTTTAAAAATTGTTTTATAGCTTCTTGGGGAATAGCTGTGTAATTGTTCCCTCCAATATTAAACAATTCTTTAAACTTTGAGAAAGTCCATTGATTAAATGGCGTTTGTATTATGTAATCAAAGTAGTATTAGTAACTCTTTCTTAAATGAACATAATTTTAAGGGGATTAAAATATTCATATGGAATAATCACCAGTTTCAACAATTAAATTAACATCAGCTTCATCATTTTGGAATCTTATTTTACTCCAGAAATATCTCAATAAATCTTCATTATTTGAAATAAGATGTTTCTCTTGCTTATTCTTTATATAAATAGTGACATCTTCAGTTTCAGTGCCATCAGGAAGGGTAAGTTCGGAAATCAGAAGAGATTTCAAATCCTCCAATGTTGCATCTTTTTCTGCAATTACCCAAGTGAATTGTTTATTTTTTTTTTGTTCCATATGTGGCTTTTATAATGAAAACATTTTTTATACTGTAAATGTGCAATCCGAGTTACTTACTTACCAAGTAGTTCTTATGTTTGGCACACAGCTGGTCTTACTTTGCCTCCGAATTATTCTACCTACTGACCCTAAGTCCAAATAATCAACACATGTCTAGTTTTCCTAGAACCTCCGAATTACAGTTGATCTCACTATCTTACAACCATTAGTCTAGATAGCTTACCTATGGCACACATCTGGTTCATAGAACCTCTGATTTACAGCCAATAACTCTTTTATCTTACAATCTGGATAAAAGATCCCTAAGTTAGTGTATCCAAAGCATCTCCTTGGCAATATGTTTAATAATTAAGAGGGTTCCAAACTAATAATTAAAGGTTGGCCAGACCATTAATCATTAGAAGGGCTGAGAATCACACTGGGTTTATTAGTAATTAGTCAGAGACTACTTTATATAAGGTTATATATTTATTAGAGTGTTAGGAGTTATTAGTTATTATTATGTTATTATAAAACAAAGGTTGTTATCAACAATATTGTTATTAACTTGGTCTAAAACCAAATGCAATTATACCTTTTGGGGCAGTACAAATAATGTGATTTGTGCTATTCTACTCTTTAAATAAATATTTACATCAAATGAGTAATTAGTGATCACAATCATCATATTCATGAATATTCATTAGGGTTTACACTTATCAAAATCAAGTGATTGACACATAATTTTAAGGGATTTTTGGATTTTTGATAAGTGTAACCCCTTAATGAATATTCATGAATATGAAGAAAACTCTTACCACACCTACCTCTGTTACACAACAAGGTTTTTTAAGATATAAGATTTCCTTATTTTCTACCAATCATGGAGGTTCTGGGTTGGAATTCAGGTAACCGAGGTAGGTGTGGTAAGGGTATTCCATTATGAGTAATACATGAAACACATAAGCAGTGTTGTGCCATTTATGCTTCTAATAAATTTCAATTGGAATTAAAACATTCCGAATGTGGTTCTAATGAAGTTAACCAATGAAATTTCAATTACAGTGTCACACACACGAATTTTATTGGTCAATATCAATTGAAGACCTATATTGGAACATTCCAATAGCGTTACAATGTAGTGTTACAAGTCGACTAGAGGTTTATAAGTCATGACTAGTCAGCTGGATTTTCTTCTAGTTGCAACTCAGCCATGACTGGATTTCAGCCACGACTGTAAATACCCTAGCATTAATATATATCATAAATAAAATGTATTTATCAAAGTGCCATCCAATCATATGTTGGATATGTGTCCTAGCCTCTTTCATTTTTATTATTTTATACTAATATTTTTAGTGGAACAAAATATTTTATAAAAGATTAACGAATTTAATTAATTAATTGGGTAATTCTATATTAATATTAATAATCCAGAGCCTCGCTTGAAGAGTAGAGGCAGAAAGGCAATATTATAATTTGTACTGTAAAGTGTGCTTACAGACTCATCAAAGCTTTCTAGGTATATACAAGAAAGAGGAAGTAAATAAAATGTTAACCTGAACTTGCCATAATGTAAAATAATCAATGAAATGTAATTTACTGCAAGAGCATATTGACGAAAAGGAAAAAGAGGGAAAAGTTGGCAAAAAAAAAGAGTTGGTGAGAGAGAAAAGTATAACCATTTTCACAAAAAAATTTTTTTGTAATAATCTGCAATAATAATTTTTACATTTTACATTTTAAAATATTATTTTCATTTTTATTTTCTAATTTTTGAGAATTATTATCATCATCTTCATTTGTATTATTAATGTCAATATCTTAACATTATTATTCTAAATAATTATTTCTATCAGTTAGTTTCATTAACTTCACAATAATCATGAAAATAACCATTTTCTGAATTATGTTCACTTTCAAATTCATCCTCAACAAAGATATCTTTTACTAAATCTTTGACTATTGTGTGACATTTTAATGAAGAATGTTACTTTTCGTCGGATTTTCCTTTACCATTTTGCCAAATGTGACAAAATTAACAATGATTTGACAAAACAATTTCCCGCCTACAAAAACATTTCGTCAGGTACCATTAACCAAGGTTGATCAAAAATTAACTTCATAGCAATTGTGACTTAATTCAATGCTTCAAAATATCTAACAGTTTATTATTTTAAAATTTGACATTTTACTATAAAGTTCAGACTCTCAAAAATAGTGTCTTCACTTTAAAACAAATTGAAATGATATCATAAAGAGCTTTATTTACAAATAATAAAAAAAGTTAAATTTATTTACAATTTCTTTCGTGTATTTGAAGCATTTGTAAATTTTCTTTTAAGAAAATTATATTTTTAACTGTTGATGGATTTAAACGGTTTCTTTTATTTGTGATTAAATTTCCGGCAGTTGAAAAGTCACGTTCAGCAGGAACAGATGATGATGGTACACAATGAAACTTGTTTTAGCGGATTTCGATTTAGCGGGCTTAAGGGTTTAACGGATAAAATTTCGGAACAGAATTTTTTTGATTTAACGGATTTAGCGGATTTTTATATATTAATATATATTCGGTATACCGGATATTTTTTAAACCTTTTCATGTCGTTCATTAACAAATTTATTTCAATTATAGATGGGCGTCTAAATTGTTTTTGGGGTTGTCTAAAGTCAAAATAGTATTTAGACAAAAATGTCTAAATGTCTAAATTAATAAATAGTAATGATTCGCTTTAAATACAACTAAAAGTCACGTGCATATAATGTTTTATTATCACCACAAAAACATGTTAATGATCGGCAAATTTTTGCAGTTGTTTCACGGATTACGAATTAATATATATTAATATTGATTCTCATATAGTTAAAACAATTGATGGATTTGATTGGTTTATTTGAAGCGTCATTTAAAGAAAAAAAATCCCACACGACTTGCAAGTAATAAAAAAAATGTCATTTCTGCCACCTGAAGTTTTAAATGAAATATTTAACTATATTAAAAATGATTACAAAACATTATATTCTTGCATTCTAATTAATAAACAATGGCACAATGTCAGTATTCCAACTTTATGGAGAGACCCATTCTACTCTGTTGACAGCATTAAAATATTAATAAATTGTTTATTGGTAGAAGATAAGGATTTTTTAACAAAAAAAAAAATTCAACTACAATTTAAATTACTGGAGAAACCACCATTGCACAATTATGCCAGGTTTTCGACTGAATTAAGTTTAAGACATTTTGTTGAAATTTTAGAAAATTTAATAGCTTCCCCAATAAATGATAAATATGTTTATTTAAAAAAAAAATTAGTAAGCTTTGTTTTAGACTATTCAACGATCAAGGCACTTAGAAATGCTAATCTAGATTATAGATTTTTGACAAGTCATCATAGGTTTAATATCTGTTTTCAGAATCTATATGAATTAAATTGTGTTTCATTTGATTGTCCTCAACTCATTGATAAATTAGCAAGCACTTGCAAAAATATTCAAATTTTGAAAATAGAATGCAATAAACATAATATTGAAATTTTTGATTATAGTCTCACGCAACTAATCAAAGCACAAAATCAAATCAGACAATTGATCATTATAAATTCATGCAGTAATGATTTCATCTTATCAAAAGATCTCAGAAAAGCAATCTTAATTCATTCAGAATCAATAATTTCATATTCCAGTTACGGAAAAAATAATCTAGATTCTCTATTCACAGCATTTCAAAATTTAAAGCTTTTGTCATTATTAGACAGTGTAAATATACCAGCCAAGAATATAATGGAAGATTTAAAATCGATTTGGTTTCCAGATCTTGAAGTCGTAAATTTATCATTTCTTGGTCATCGATTTCTATTAGATTTGTCAAATTTCATTGAACTCAATGGAAAAAATCTTAGAAAATTGTCGATTTGTGGTGAACCAATAGATAAATGCCACTTGGGGACACTGATTCAATCAATTGGACATTATTGTCAAAATCTAGAATCTTTTTCAATATTTTACAGGGATAATTTAGATCAACAATTAATCCAAGTATTTAATAATTGTTTTAAATTAAAATGCATTAAATTCACTACATTTAGTCACCATTATGAAAGAATAGACGGTGATAAAATTTTAAATGTATTAAATAAAACATTACCAAAAAACTTAAATTCATTAGTTTTTAAACATTCAGTCACCATCTTTGACCATAATTCATTAGAAGCTTTAATGACCAATTGGAAAGGACCTAGACCTTTTAAAATAATATTACTCATAAATAATAAAATTCCTTTGAGGGGATGCTTATCAGAAAAAATATCAAAATCTGGGAAGTTTAGAATCATAAGTTTATGAGCTTGTGTGTGGACTCTTGATTAAACAAACCTTTTGTGTAGAAAATCTATATAAAAAGTTCATCTTGGTAATCTTTAATAATAATTTATTACGTCATTTCTAGATCTATAACGGGTCTATTTCGGTTTCTTCATCTTTGTTATTTTCTATACGTTTATTTATTATTTTATTTATTTTTAATTACTCTAATTATTCTGCTGAATAGTTTAGGAATATCTAAATTCTCAGTTGATTGGAAAACATTTTTATCTGAATTATGATACAATAAATAACAAGATCCTAGCTCAGGTTTAAAATTTCCCCATTCCAAATAATTAAATTATTGTAAAAAAAATTTTCAAATTTATTATCAAGTTATTTATCATTAAATAAAGACAAAATATTTAACAAAAAAATCATTAATAATTTCTTCTGGACAATTATACTCTTCTTTGTAGTGGCGATGCATCCTTGGCGATCGGTACAGGTTTCACAAACTGACAATTATATAATTTGCAATCAATAGAGTAACAGACTATGATCGAGATGCGTTGATATATTTTGATTCTGATACCAATCACAAGAAAGAATGCACTGTCCTTGCAGTTCCACAACGGTCATACTTGCAGGATCCATACCGACACATGTTAATGATGGCTTTAGATGCGCAATCCAGATATCGCATGCTCTACAATAAACATTAGTGAAACAGAGGCGATGAAAAATTAATTGAAGCATGTAAAATCAACAATCTCAATTATACATCAAGTCCGGCACCACAAAAGTGACCGCAAACGGTATTTCCTCCATAATTTACTTTTGATAAAATTTTCTCGCTTAAAAAATGAAGGACCAAAGGACTGGATCTTTTTCATTTTTTTAATGCTGCAAAACAGGATATTCGAGGAAATCATATTTTGCGACTAGGAACAAAAGATAAAAGTTTTAGTGGACGAACAAACAAACGCCAATATTTTCAAAAAGCCAAAACAGGTGATGCTTGATATTCTATTTTAATTATCTTTTCCTCAAATCAGTTGGCTTTATCAATTCATCAATTGTATATTTCTCTTGACTTGCTTCTAAAAAAATCTAATTTTTAGAATTTTTACCAAGAATAAAAAAGCAAAATCATCTGTGACTTAGTACTAGACAATGTTGTTTTGACGAAATATTACCAAAGTTGTAAAACTATTACGTCAAACTCGCTGTCATTAAGTCAAAAATGACGTAAATAAAAAATTGCAAGGTTAATAAAATATAAAAGCTCACAAAAAAACTTGTAAATATATTCCAAAGTCTTTTTTTTATATTTTCTTGTATCCCAATCTCTCTTTTGTTTCATCAGTTGTTCCCAAAGAGCCAAGTTTTTCTTTTGCTGAATACAAATTCAGCTCCCACACACTCTCACCTCGACATTTCTTATAACGTGATACATAATAATAATCGGGGTAGATAAAATCATCGACTAGGGATTCGGTACTTTATGTTCCAGGGTCAACTAATCTTAGTTTACGCAAAGCTTTTCATAAATTGTTATCAAATTACTGTGTAAATAGTCATGGAAGTTTTTATAATATCAATATTAAGTTATTTTGCAATAATAAAATCACTTTTATCTTTGTCCTTATTTCAGTGATCAAGAATAACTTCTGGTCTTCGCTTGAAAAAGCATAACTTCAGGTCCTCTCAGAGGAAAATAATAGATGATTCACATTTCTAATAAAATAAAACTCTGTGATAGAATCATTATTTTTATTAAATATAATTAATCGTTAATAAACTTTTAAAAAAAAAAATAAAAACATTTTCTTTATTTTCTTTGTTTGATAAAAGCAACAAGTGTAGTTAGTGCCTTGATAAAAGGTAACAATTGTGGAACTTTGGTAAAAAGCCACGTTTATTTGCTTTAGTGCACAGGCAAGCAAGGTTAGGACTAACGTTGGTTAACTAGTGAGTATCGTCAAAAGGTTAATCGGAAATACTGGTGTTATTATTGTAATGGTAAACGTAAGGCTGTTAAACAAGCCTCTTGAGTTGTTTTGCAAGTAAACCAAAGCGAGTTTTCAACCGGCCAATAAATGTAATAAATCGATCACAAGTAAATAAAGGAACTTTATAGCTTTGTAAAAGGCCATCTTTATTTATTTACAGCTATCTGATACCATTAATTGTGCCCACAGACTCGTCTAGGTGCAAGAAAGAGAGAACCAAAGTAAATCCATAAACTAATTAATTGGCAAGCACCAAATTATTTGCAATTAACTGACAAGAGTAGCACAAAAGTTTAAGCCATAATTGTTAATTAACCAAAATGACGCCTCGCAATATCATTTAACAAGAATCAGAAAACTGTAGAAAGTTTATTATAAGAAATATTATTATAAAAAACAAAATAAGGATAAATAAAAAGATAAATAATAAATTTATAATGGGGATTAAATTAGTCGTTCATCGCTTTACTAGAGTTTAATTAACTAATATTGTTAGTAATAATTAATAGATAGTAATTTCCAATTGATCAATAATGAAAATTTTATTCACCTTTGTTAACATTTCAGAGAAAAGATTTAAAATCAAGATTATTTAACGAACCATCATTACTTGTATAACTTTTCAAACTTTTAGATTTAGCAATTTCATCATCTAAGATTCTACTTGTATGATAGACATCCGGATGTGATTTGTGTGCTTGTTGCAAAGCACTACTACCACTGCTAGTAGCATTATTACTATTATCATCATTAACAATTTCATTATGTTTATTTACAGCAAAACCATAAAGCTCTTTAATAGTTGGTCTTTTTGATGAGTCCACATCCCAACACCTTTGGATCATTTGCACATAATCGTCAGGCATTCCAGGTAATATTGGTGGTCGTAAACCTTCTGCACATATATCAAAAATCAAATGATGATTGTGAGCTCTATCATCAAATGGTGGATGGCCTGCAAATATTTCCCACATTAACATCCCAACACTATAGATATCTGTTTCTTTTGTGTACTTTGTATTAGTTTTGTCTCCAAGTAGCTCGGGTGCAACATATGATATAATTCCATAGACTTTATTTGATGACTTTTCATCAGCTGGTCCACATAATCCTAAATCTGTAATATAACAATCACCTCCTGACATAAGTATATTACCACTATGTAAATCACAATGGATTAAATCTTTTTCATGTATGTCATTTAATGCACAACATAAATAATCAAAGATTCTAATTCTGTCTTTTAATGTTAAATTTAAATGATTTTTTTGTAAATAATCCCTTAAATTTCCTTCTGAATGGTAATTTAAAACAATTGCATAATTCCCATTATCTGGGAGTTTAGTTATACCATGGCACCCAATAATCAGTGGTGATTTAATTTTAGAATAATTCATTGCCTATTGAATATAAAATCAATTAGTATTATATAATATAGTATTGTTTATTTTGTTTTATATGACAACTAAGGCTCCGCATGAGCCAGCTCACAAGCCAAATAACTTAGTAGGCTCGCAAGCCAGCTCGTGAGGAGCTTTAATGACAACTACCAACCTCATCAAGAAAGCCTTTTCCTGACTTACTTGAATCATTTAAACTTTTTAATACTACATTCAGCCTTCTAAAATAACTAAATTTCTTTTTCTTTTCATTGTAATCAACAATAGATCCTCTTGTCCATGTAGCAGTAAAAATTGAACTAAATTCACCTTCAGTTAACTTTGTTACTTTTTCAAATTGCTCAAAAGGTATCCATTCTAAAATATATCCTGGCAGGGATGATTTCATTTGACATTGTTGAATAAATTCATCAATTATGTTATTTCCAGATGTCTGAGTGGTGAAAAGACTCTGTAATTGTAAACTAATACAACCTTCACAGAATCTATCAGTGTATCTTATTAATTTACACTTGTTACATTTTTTTGGTTTGCCTTTCTTATTTCTGGCATTTATTAATTCAAACTCATAAATAAACCTTTCCTTACAATATTCCTTTTCATTTTCAGAAAGCTCCTTGTTTTTCTTGACTAATGAAAAAAAATAATCTTTTATACTTTCTATGTCAGCATTAGGATTAGCATCAGCATTATTGCGCATTTCACCATTAATTTTATATACAAATTTCTTTCTTTCCGATGATAACGATGATAATAGGTTATAATATGACATGACATAAAAATATAAAATGAAATTTGGTTATAATATGACATGACGTAAAATTATAAAATGAAATTTGAGAATAGCGATAACGGTTACATTATTTCCGTTCTTTGAATGCCGTGTAACAAATAATTCTTTTGGTCTTGTTGATTGTCTTCAAGTCTTTCTCTAACAGGATTAATTAATAAAGATGTGAATTGAGTGGACAAAAGTTGCACTATTTAAAGAACAACTTTATCATCACCAAACTCTAATGATCGATTTGTCGTGATTCAACAATAAAAGAATTTCAGCATTCCTTGAAGATTTAAAACTTACAAAACCTGTCTTGTGTGCTATGTAAAGGTCGTTCTAAATACCAATATTGACCGACCTATGTTGCTTCAGCACATCATTAATATTATTGCGTATTACTATTACGCGTAATTAACTTCAGAGTTAAAAATTCGAAAAAAACGCAACTCATATGTATGTAAAGACAATTTTGATTTTATGAAATGTAATAGTAAAAGAATAGTTTTAATTTGTAAAAAAAGAAGAGGAATTTTTTATATGGGAAAAAAAACAAGCAGTTAATTAAGTAAAATTCCTAATTCAAATTATAACATTTGTAAACTTCCCATGATAATTATTCTTCTTGCATCATTGCAATATACATACAATGATATAATTCTTTTATTCGTCTCAGGATACACATTTTACCATTATAATTATTGCTGCTTGTATCAAGCGTTTCTACTTACGTCAAGTGGTTTTACCTACGTCAAATCATCAAAATGGCCCTGGTGAGAAACTACCTTTAGTCAATACTTTAGTTACATCAATGACTAAAGCCAAAAGTTTCATCATACATCATTATTCCTAGACTCTTTTCAATTTCCTAAACAGTTTCAGGAGAGAACCTACTCTATTCCTAAGTCTAAACTCTAAACTAAGAATTTCGGGTTACATACTTGTATAAACCAGTTCAGATGATTTAATAATAATACAGGGTCGTTTTGTAAAACTTTGTATTTCAACGTATTCTTCTTAATCACAGAGAAGGATTCCCTTGAGCATTAAATTAACTGGCATAAGTATATTAAATACAATGTTAATGTAATAATAATAATTCATTTTATGACTTTAGTAAGTGAATATATAGATTAACGACTGCGAAGCCAGATTTCAGTCTCCAATATTTCATGCGCTTTCATCAAATCACGTTCATTCATTCCAAGTAATGTTTCGTCTGTTTCTTAAAGTGCATCTATTGTATCATTATAATTAATAAACTCATCTTCTGTTGCTATTGTCGTCGTCGTTGATGTTACTGCTTTTCTATGTCTAGAAAAAAATTATGTAAATTGATTAATCAAAATAATGTTTTTTAGAAATCCTACTTATTAACATTAAGGACATTTAGTGCTCTTTTACGTTCCCGTTCAAATAATATCATTATTATTTTTTAAATAAAACATATTAATAATAAATATCATCAGAGTTTGATTTTTTGTCATCAATAGTACTCGTTTTTCTTCTTCTAACAGGCTTATTATTATCGTCGCCGTTGTTAGTTATCATGCTAATATCATTATTATTATTATTAATGAAATACCATTAATTATTATTCTAAAACGAATATTTTTACTGATGAATTTCTCTATCATCAAGATAATTGTTTTTACCACGATATCCTCTATCATGACTATGTTTTCGAGATGGTATTCCTTTGAGAAAATGACATTTCGCAATAATTAACACTTCCTGTAAAAATGATTGCTCTCTTCTAGATAATTTTATAGTTTTTGCAAAAAAAAATTTGTTGAGATAGATTATAGTTACCTTGAGAAATAATTTATTTGATTTATATTTTTAATGGTTTATTTTTGTTAGCAAAAGGCACTTACACTACTTGGAAGGAGACTCTTTTTATATGGTGAACTTAAACAAAACTTTTTCTCATACACAAGAAGGCAGAGAGTAGCGAACTTTGGACATCTGGAAATTTTTTTGGACACAATATTATGAGAGGTTTGTAAGTTTTACGTAATCATTACAATTTGTAATTTTGTGACGGGTCCATAATTATTTAAGTTGTTTAATATTTTAAATTCGCAATTTGTTGAATGTTTTTTACATATTAATATATAGTCAATATATTCTTCTATACAATCAACCAATTGAGATGAGATAAATAAGTGTTGATCCAAATTATTTCTAAATCATGAAATGCAATTACAATATTAGATTTTCATAATTTCAAAAACTTTCTTACCAATTAATATATATCTTTGTAAGTCAATCAATACTTGTCCGATTTGAATGATCTTTGATTCAATAGAAAGCCCAAATTTCATGATTATTAAGTAGTTGTTACTCTTTCTTTCTCAATCATTCCTCAAATATCTCAAGTAATTAATGCATTACTAATTCTGGGTGGCTCTCTCAAGTGGACAATAATCACCATCTTTAAAAATAATGATGACAAAAAAACAAAATTTCAAAAATTTGATTTTTGATTTTTTGATCCTTTGATATGGATAATCAATCTATTTTTTTTTATCTCGGTAGTATCCAATGAATTGAAATGAATTAATGCTTATTTGATTTCTAAATCATGTAAAGCGTCATATTGATATACCTATATATAATTTCCGCAGAGAGCCTTGCCCTCTGCAAAAATATTTCCCATATATTAAATTAATGAATGATGCTTTAAATTTATTAATTATCATCATCTCTCGTCTTTTCTTTTTTTTCTGATATAATTGGTGTATTATTATTGCATGCTTATATTATCTAATTATCTAATCATTATTATTCACGCAAGAATAAAATTTATAATAAATCATGTAAATAATATATATATTTATTTTTTATTTTAAATAAAGGATTCTGCTATAAAGAAACCATTTAAATGAACAATATCAATGAAGGTCAGCAAAGATTTATATAATTATTATTTGGTCCATTAATTCAACCTCCTACAAGGCAAAATACATTCAAATGTTGTACGAGTATTCGCCTTAAAAATTTAACGCGTTTTGTTTTGTAAAATTTTTTGACAAAAAAAAATTTAATTTTTATTATTATGGAAAAGACAATATCGAATGATTTAGAAAAAAACTTTTATGTAATCAATTCATTTGGTTTACCAAGTTGGGAATTCACCAAAAGTGGGCAAATTATTAAGTAAATATTTGGGTAGTTTTTTTTTAAGCATTTTTTTTTTAAAAATTAATTTTAAAAAAATTTGTATATACTCATTCATATTGTAGAGATAACCATAAAAAGAGTTTATTAAATAAAGAAACTGTTAAATTGCAACGTAATAGACGTGAATTAATATATAAAAGATTCAAAAATAATGACATGGTAATGTAATTAATATGTAAATGCGTTTATACTATATAAAAATATCTATACAAATATGTATTTATATATATATATATATTTAGATAAAATCAATATCTAGTATGCTTGGCAGACATGGTAAAGAATTTAAAATATTTGGAAGACTAGGTTTATCAAATTTTGGAGAATATGTTCTTGAAGATGTAACTGAATCTAGCACTGTGGCATTAGAAATATCAGAAATCGTATTTATAAATCATTATATATATTGAAATAATATTTATTATTATAATTATTATTGTTATCACATTTTTAATTTTAATTTTTTAAAAAATAAAAGAACATTGATGGATTCTTTCCTCTAAACAGTTTTGTAATTGTCAAAGGGAAAAGTATAAATTCAAAAACTTTTAAAGTGTCCGCAATTGAAAATCCACCTGTTGAAACAATACATGATATAAGGTTAGAGTCTGTTTTTCTGATATCACTTAAGTAGATTTTTTAATTCATTTTTATATTTTATATAAAATAGAAAAAAATGGGGAAACTTTGATTTTTTGGGTCTTAAAAATTTGTCTAGAAATGAGGTAACTGATTTACACGCATGTATATTTAATTGTTTAGTTTAATACAGTAGTAAATTTTCTTGAACTCTTTAAATTTAGGCAAATTTAAATCTAGATGAGAATTCACATTTTGTCATAATATCGGATTTATGGTTGGATAAAGAAAAGGTGAATTTAAAAATTTTCTAACAATTTACAATTGTAATTTTTTTATTAATTTTGAGAAACTAAGATCAGGAAAATATACTTTTAAGACATTCGTTAATCTTCGTAGAATATTTGAAAGTTATAATAAAGAACAAGATGATGGGAATGGAAAGAATAGCAAGATTCCGTTGGCATTTATATTTATTGGGGATTTTTTTTCAGAACCATTAAATTATAAGGATCAATACAAAAAACAAGTAGAATGTAAATTAAAATTTTATTTATACAATCAAAAAAAAAATATAGAAATGTTATTATTAATTAATATATTATATTTCATAATAGATGGATTCAGAGATTTGACAAGACTCATCTTGAAATATCCAATGATAAAACAATGTGGTTTCATCTTTGTTCCAGGACCAAATGATAACTTTGGTAATAAGCCACTTCCATATTTTCCAATCTTTGAAGAATTTACTAAATCTGTGTCTGAGAAACTTCTCAATGCAATTTTTACAACTAATCCTTGCAGGTATTTCAAATACATACACATATATATATACACAATAGATGATTATATAGAGTGATATTAATATAAATAATTTAATTAATTTAGAATTAGAATTCTAAATCAAGATATGGTGATTTTTAGATGTGATCTAATAGAGAAAATTAAAAGTACTTCAATACGAAATGTAAGCTATAATAAACATGTTATATTTGATGTATTTGACACATTAGATTATTTATAGTCATTTATGTTGATATTGATATTATAACGTTTTAGTTATCCAATAACAATAATGATAATAATAACGATATTGATGTTGAGATGACAAATGTTGTTGAAGAAGGGGGTGATGACGGTGAGGATGATGATGAAGATGACCCTGGGGATGTTGGTGCTGGTGTTAATCAAGTTAGTTTTAAATATTTGTTTTCAAGGTTTAATCCTTACAAAATATTAAAATAAAAATATTATCAATACAATATTTATAATGATTACTTTATTATTATTGTAATAATTAGTCAAAATCGAAATCACAAAACAATAATTCAACATTATCAACAAATAATAATACTAATAATATTGATGATATAGCTCAAGAAGATGCGAAAAAGATAATTCGAATGTTGTTATGTCAATCACACTTATGTCCGGTTCCGGATTATAAACAACAAATTCATGTGGATTTTGATCATGCTTTATGGTTATATCCAGTTCCAGATGTTGTAAGTAATTTCATTAATTGATGAATTAGTCAATATGATAATGATGATACGATAATAATAATATATATATTTTTCTGAATGTACATTCTAAACATTTAGCTTATAACAGCTGATCGATATTATAATTACATGTTTGATATAAATTTTGAATCTCGACATGAAAAATTAAAACGAAATCAAAAAAACACTACAATGAAATGTAGCTGTTTAAATCCAGGAACATTCAACGAAAATAATTTTAAATATATGGTATATTGGCCTGTTTTGAGAAAAACAGAAATGAGATGATTTATCATTATAAATTGTCTATATTAAAAAATGGAAGAATCGACACCTTTGAAAATTTTATTTTATTTTCCATCATCTGTAGCAATATATTTTGTTTGGTTGCGTAATAATTCTAAAATAAATAAATGCAAAGTTGTGTATACCTCTAAATTCCCGTCAACAGGTTTAAAGTCACGTGATCACTAAAATTTTGTTGCGTTTTTTTGATTGGAATTTTTTTTCTCAAATTGATATAATGATGCAAAAGTTTAGTGACCAAGATCACTTGCATTATGGATCCAAGTATTAGCAACACATTATGGATCAAAATATAGTGGAACAAATATAACTGGATGGCCCTGTCTTATGTATTTTAAAGAAAATGATTTTACATGATGATCATAGCAACAAATTTCTACTTACCACCACCAAATCTAATAAATAGTTTTAATTGAATTAATTATTGGTACGTACATATATTTAAAAAGGGAAAAAATTAGAATATCATTAATGATGATCTTATATTTTTTTAAAATGTCTAATTGGAAATCCAAAATTTATTTTTGATCATATCATACTATAACAGATAAACAAATAAATTTAGAGTTATAAGGCTTCAAAGTTAGACCATCCATATGTAAATTGTAAAATTTTCGGAATGATCTTCCCTTGTGATTTCCTAAAAGGCTGATGATCGGTTTAAAATTTTTCGTGATATGGAATAAAAGAATCTCTTAATTTAGGAAAATTATCTAAAATTTTAAATTTCGGACTGACATTTATAGATGACCCTCTGTAAATGCATGCTCTCAAGGAGGATGCATTTATTATTTATGAAGAGGTCTGACTGACTATATGGGACATGCTGCAACAAAACCAGGCAAAGTGAACATTGGTATTACTAAAAATTTCAGGGATCAAAATTTAGTTATTATCATCACAATTAGTTTATAATGCCCCATTTGTTAAGTGATATATAGAACTAACCCTATATAAAAATAGTTAATATGAAATTAATTTACATCAGATCTATATGGAACCCAAAAATTATAGCACTATTAGAAGTATTTTAAAAAAGGAACAAGGTGAAAAAATTGCTCCTTATATTTTCAAAATAAATGATACTCAGACACTGGAAACTTATCTAAGAAAAGAATGGATTACTTATGAAATTTACCATGAAGAAAGAAAAATAATAAATGTTGGAAAAAGAAAACATCATGATGATGTGTTATTACCTAACAAAAAGCAAAAATCATCAGAAGGAAAATAATCTTATTACAATATTGATTTATTTTTTCCTTTTAATTCTAAAGTTGCCTTTCAAAATTCTAGATTAAAGTTGGTGTCAGTAACTGATTTGAAATTCTGCAACTGGTTGCAACATCCTGGGTTGCTGAGCCATCATTAACTAAAAGCAATTTTTTTTAAACAGGGGTTTTTAATTAAAAAGCCACTTATTTTATCATTCAATTTCATATTGTAATATTTTATCCCATATAAACAAAAACGTGACCTGCATATAAACAAATCAATGATAATTCTACTCTCAGAGTTAGATAGACAAGAATTTAAATACATAAGAAAAATAGCAAAAGTTACACATCAACTTTTCATTTTATTAATATAGTAATAGTAAATAATAAATTTTAAACAGGGATAAAAATATTTAAAATAATGCCACCCTCATTTATAATGTTATGGTTGGCACACCATAAAAAATTAATTTTCTTTATCATCTTTTTCATTTAAATGAATTCTTTTAGTGATGATCTCTTTTGGAACTTTGTTAATTAAATAGAATATTTGTCTGTTTTCAAATGACATTAATTCATAAATAACTGGTTTTTTATCAACTCCCCCTCCTATTTTGGTCTTTCCAAAATATAGATGCTGGTCACAATTCTTGGTGATGGTTGCAACCATATTTGCGACATATAAAAATGGTTTGCGACACCTGGTTGCAACCAACTTTGCAACCACTTTGGTTTCCTTTCTTGGATTGTGACATGGAACACTATTCCAAAAAAAATCTTTGTCTAGGAACCATATTTTTAAATAATTAATATGAAGATTATTATAGATAAATAAATTATATTTTAGATAAATTACCTACCTTTGGTGATTTTTTTTCTCAATGCTATATAGATGTAGAAAAAATCCTTAAGGAGAGATTTTTTTCTTTTAGTTGATGCATGAATTGGTGAACATGTTGACTAAAAACATGCATATAAGGTGGTAACATTGTGTTTTCCATATAAATTTGTGTTATAAAAAGAACATATCCAATTTTTAGAATCAATTTCAAATTCATTAATTTCTTCATCTGAATGTAGTGGTTTATGTAAAATCATGTAAAGTCTAAAAAATTCTTTCCATAATTTTTCAATATTTTCTCCATAAGTACCAGGAACAAATTTGCAAACTGGAAAATTTTCTAAGACCTTTTTTTTATCAGGACCCATTAAGGAAGTCCAGTTCCATCAGGAAATTTTCCCCGCCACAATATTACGTCCTAATTGCATAATTTTTGTATGCTTATTTGCATAATATTATGGGCCCGCTGTAAACTTATGTAAATAGTGTAATAATTACATAAATCCACATCAGAAAAATTTCCTGATGTCCATTGTTTCCCAGTTGACTTAGTTTTAAAAAATTCGAAATGAACTTTTATATTATACATTTCCTGTTCAATTCCTGGTTTGACTTTTTTTTTCAAAATCTTTGCTTTTAAATAAATAATTGAAATAGTGTTCCATTAATATATCTACAATATGCAAAAACAAATGCAATTCATCAGGTATATAATTTTTTTGGATTATTGCAGGAAATATTTCAGGTTTTTTATTTTTACCTAAACAAGTTTTTGATTTAAAATTAAAAAAAAAGTGATATTAATATGAAAAAATTAATAATAATTAAAGGAAAAACTAACATGAATTATTGACAGTATTTTCAAATTTTTGATCCATGTCCCAACATATATCAGATCCACAATTACAGTATAAACAAAAATGTTTAGAATCAGGAGCATCCAAGCCCATTACAATATACATAATCTTCCAATCACCAGCAAAATAAAGTTCTATTTTCCAATGCATTCCATCTTTATCATATATACCATTGTTTCTAAGTTCATTAAGTTCATGACAATATAATTTTCCCACTACAGAAACATTTTCATATTTTTCTTTTCCAATATAAAGGCAGATGCTAAAAAAATTTAAATAATTAAATAAAAACATCTTACTTTTTATTATCAATTACTTTTTTAATATAATAATAATTACCAATGTTGATTCTCTGGTTTTAGAACCTCTTCACCTTGATTTAAAAGACAAACAGTAAACATCACATGGTTCTGTTTATGACCAATATTGTAACCATCTCCACCAAGTTTAAGCATAAGTGTATCACCAAATTTTATAATTTCAGATTCTTTCCAAGTTGGAATTAGAGCTAATAATAATGAATTAATCAATATTGAAACACCATTTCCTATCTCACTTTTATCAATTAATATATTACCTTCAGATTCTTCAAAAATTTCCAAATCATTAACAATTTTATCAACACTAAATGTTTTTATGTTAAGATCATTATTGATTGAATTTGTTATTGTATTTCTATGATCTGAAACAATATATTCATGGACAAGAGAAGCATCTATTGCTGCTAGATGTCAATATGCTTCATGTGACAAAAATGACTCATCACAGGCTCTAACAATAGCATCAATTTCTCTTCGTTCATACATTTGTTTATAATTTATCATTATTTTTTCTGTATTGCAATCTAATTCTAAATTACGAAGGCTGATTGCATGACTTTCTTCTTCATTCATATTATAAGATTCAATTAATGAATCAATTAAATTCTTTGCATCTTTACCAAAATCTCTTAATCTTTTGTTTACAGCTGATTTAGATTGTAGAGTATTAAGTGGTCTTTTTCTATTGTTTTTCTTTAATATTAAAGAGGTAGTCTCGGATCTAAGAAGTATAAATATGAACAAATTAGGTAAAGTTTTAATCTGATAGTGTAATTTCATATTTCATCCATTCTTAACATTATTAACTATATAGAGTAACAAGTGGTGGTGATAACCACCATTTTTACAATAAACAATACTTACTCATCATATTTGTCTTTATTTCCTTGATTTTGCTTTCTTTTTTCTTTTATTTTTTTATCTTTTGGCATTTTTATATACTACGACACACAAATGAAATTTCTGTTTTTTACTTTTTTAAATTACTATGTAATTATAGATTGTAAAAAAAGTGGTAATTAATTTTTTGTAGGGTAATATAAAAAATATAAAAAGAAAATAACATTACTAATTTATTTATTAACAAATTTCCCCTTGTTGATCATCTCAAATTAATGACACACTACAGTCAGGGATCTTTCCAAATTTGGAATGTGGCTAATACAACAATTGATCGACAATAAATGTCTTCCTTCGGAATGATATTATTTATTAGAGTATCACAAGACCTTCCTTTATATTACAGTCAGGGATCTTTCCAAATTTGGAATGTGGCTAATACAACAATTGATCGACAATAAATGTCTTCTTTCGGAATGATATTATTTATTAGAGTATCACCTTCCTTTAAAGTAAAGAATAAAGTCAACCAAGCAAAAGAAATAACCAAAGGAAAGTTCAACGCTTATATTTTACAAAAGAGCAAATAGTATGAAATTAGAGTACCAAGCTAATGAGTTAATGAGAGGAGATAAATGGCATTGTAATTTCTGCCCTTTTGAGAGAGAAAGAAGTTTAACTGCTACTTACAAAATAATATCTTACAACACAAGCAATAATGATTACAATGACATTGCTTATATCTGTGGTGAATGTAAAAAAGCTCTTGATGATGATACTCTACCACATTGTGGTGATTGTGGTCAAATTATGAGAAACAGAATAGAATGCTTTTGTGATTTAAGGAAAGATGAACCAGTCAAAACCCCAACCATAACAGAAATAATGGCACAGAGTTATGTTGGCAG